TAATAGAAACCACATGAAAAGGTTATTAAAGAATCTATCTTTAAGCAGAGAGATATTATCAAGGGACAGAGTGAATGTTTCATCCAATCTCAGTATGTTTTTAACTGTATACTTACACTCACAGGTGTTTGCTGCTCTGTGTTTGTAGCCGTGACTCTTTCTACAGGAACTGACCTTGAACAGAAAGGTGTGATATAATATGAGCTTTATGAATAGGGTTAATGACTGTCTGTGAGATGCTTACATCAGGATACACACACACACACACACACACACACACACACACACATAAACACACTATCATGACAGATACCGGAATCTGCAACCAGACGTCTCCTGAGCAATTAAAGAGCAACTATTGAAGGATAAAATGTACTGTGTTTTAGCAGAAACTGTGGTTACTGAAGTAAATTTGTGTGGAGAATTGAAATTAATGGTGTTGCCAAATTTCATGCTCAGCACGGCTGCATTTATTTGACCAAAAATACAGTAAGAACAGTAAAATTGTGAAATATTATTACAATTTAAAATAGCTATTTTCTATGTCAATATCTGTGAAAATGTAATTTATTTCTGTGATCAAAGCTGAATTTTCAGCAACATTACTCCAGTCTTCAGTGTCACATGATCTTCAGAAATCATTCTAATATGCTGCTTTGCTGCTCAAGAAACATTTCTGATTATTATCAATGTTGAAAACAGTTGTGCTGCACAATATTTTTGTGTAAACCGTGATACATTTTATTTTTCAGGATTCACAGATGAATAGAAAGTTCAAAAGAACAGCATTTATACGAAATAGAAATCTTTTGTAACATTAGAAATGTATTTACTGTTACTTTTGATCAATTTAATGCATCCTTGCCAAATGAAAGTATTTATTTCTTTAAAAAAACATACTGACCCCAAACTTGTAGATGCTAGTGTGTATATTTCCATGCACACGTGTCTGAATGTAATAAAATCTGCAGATGAGGGGGAAAATCTTTTAATCTTCCATTATAACTTCACACCACCCCCACACACTCTCTCACAAACACACACACACACACACACAGTGAAAGGGTGTAATTTGTGAAGATGTCTATAGTGCGTTTGGATATATTTGCATCTTAATTAGAGGTGGGGTGGGGGGTCAGATATGCTGGTGCGCTTCTAGAAGAAGACGATCAACAAAACTATCAGCGCTGCCTTTAGTCGTGTGTTTGTGTGTGTGTGTGTGTGTGTGCAATGAGATGCTGTAATACTGTATTATTGATGCTGCTGTTTGCAGTATGGGATATATAAATGCATGATGACTGCTTAGCTCACACACACACACACACACACATATAATATGCATGTGGGGGAGGGAGGTGTTCACATTGGAAATGCTCTATGACCCTCATCAGCTGTTTGACGGCTTTGTTATTATACGGCAAAATAATATCACATTTCTCTGAGAGGAGAGAGAGAGAGAGATGGATGAGGACGCGCAGAAAGAGAGAAACTCTCTCATTCTCACTGTATGTGTATGTGTGTGTGTACCTGTTTTTCTATTCTGGTGGGGACTTACACCTGAATACACACAGACTCATGGGGACTCATGTCACGGTGGGGACCTAAATTGAGGTCCCCACTGGTAAACAAGCTTATAAATCACACAGAATGAATTTTTAAAAAAATCTAAAAATGCAGAACGTTTCCTGTAAGGGGTAGGTTTAGGTGTAGGGTTGGTGTAGGGCAATAGAATATACGGTCTGTACAGTAGAAAAACCATTACGCCTATGGAGAGTCCCCACAAGGATAGCAAACCAGATGTGTGTGTGTGTGTGTGTGTGTGATCACTGCACATGCTCTGATCCGTATACTGGGGATGTACAGCAGGCGTTTCAACAAATGCATGTGAGATGTTGTGAACTTTCCCACAAAACACTATCATAGAATTAAATGTCATCTAAAGGGATGCACTCATATGCAAAATGCAAATTTTGGTTGATGCTGATATGATGATTTTATGAATCTATTAAGGCTGATAACTGATATGATCAATATTATACTAACTCTATGATGGCCCATAACCAATATCATGGCTAAAATTCATCAAAAAAAACCCTAAATCAATACGATAGCCAATAGTTTTGTACTTTTTACTTTTAGTTTTGAAACTTTGCCCAAAAAAAACAAACAAAACAAAACTGAATTTACTTTTTGAGCATAAAAACATAATATAATGAAACCAGTCACTTAAATTGCTATAATATGATAGAATATAAATATGCTAATATAAAATATAATAATATAAAAATATAAAATAAATAAAAAAATGCAAATGTTTTATGAAACTGAATCTGTATATATTATGCTCACCTACTCTCTGCTTTTCTGAGCGTCTGTTGAGTTTCTAGTATCGTATTGATTTCTGTGGTTTTAGCAAACACCGCACTGACGCACCTCCTGTTTGCGAAATTCTTATTTTGTTTTGGCTTGTTTGTCTGATATTTGCTGTGTAAATATGACTGTTGCTTGGTTATTTCCAATAAGGTTTTGTCTGACGAGTGAAGCAATTAAGACATAACTATAAAGAAACGATTAGCTAATTAATTGAGTCCTTTATTTCTTCAGTCATAATAAGGAAGGCTTCCTCTGCACTCCTCAGATTAGCCTTTAGACGTATGTTTTTATATTGTACGTTAATGAATTGTTTGCAGCTGTATGTTTCTGTCTCTTCTCTTATATTTGACAGCTGTCAGAGCTCATAAGAGAGACGCTCTATGCAGTTCTGACAGTGTTTGGTGTCTGCGCTCGTCCTGCTCTTGCATCCTAGCATTGCATTTAAAACTAAGGTTCTGAGTAATTTAGCTCAGAATCGTGAAGGCAGGAGCGACGTGTTTGCGCTCAACCTTTCAGTCCGAGGAAATGCGCTGCAGGGCAATTGTGGTCGGTTTTCAAATTCTCTCTTTCGAGCTGTCATATCCTTCCTTTCACACCGTTCCATCATTTCAGACCCAGGACGGTTTTTCTGTCTTGTTTTCACCTGTTCAGTCTGTCAGTAGCAAAAGTTGTTTGCAAATGAAATTTCAGCATAGAAGAGATTCGATTCCAGTTTGACTTTGCTAAGATAATGTAACTTTTAACATGATGCAGTTGTGCAATGCATTATTAATTGGATTATCAATGCAATTAAATGATTTCGAAACAGATTTTGAAACCAGATTTTTAGGATTTTGAGAAATATCAATATTTTAAGTTTATATAAGTATAAATACAAATGCACTGTAAAAAGTGATGACCTGCAATTGTTAGCAAAAAAAGCAATTTTTACCCTATAAAAATATATTTTTATGCTATAAGATAATGCATTTAGGTTGATTCAGTGATGCTAAATGCTATTTTTTATATGAATAAAACCATTTATGTTTCCATTTTCAGTGTGATAAATATTAAACACTACAAGGTTCTGCATTATTTATATGACTGATCAATGTAAAAGTATAAATAAACTAACTTTTAGTATTTTGATAAATATAGAAATATCATAGACAATATTACAGAAATGGAATAAATATATACCATATATTATAATGTCAAAATATCAAACGTGCAATGCAAACATGTGTTTGTGTGTGTTTATTAAGATTTTATAATGTGAAATCATATAAGATTTTATTATGTGAAAGCTGACAGCTGATGTGATGGTCAATATTATAACTCTATAATGGCCCATAACCAATATCTATGGCCAATATTATTAATGTTTACATGGTCAAAATCCAATATGATGGCCTATTTGCCTTCCTATAAAGGCAGCGTTTATATTTAAGCTCCAATTTAAAGTTTTAGCATTATTCAGTATTCAGTATAAAAGTAAAAAAAAAAAAAAACATTTAAATTTTTGAGTTGGAAAAATATATATATATTGAGACCAATAATGCAAAATGGGTCAAATGTAAAAAAAAAA